CAAATCATAAAAATTATGATCGAGATCATATACTAACAAGTCAAAACTTGGTCAAACCTTTCCAATTTTAAGCTTCAAATTGAGAACTGTTCTTCCAAATTCATTACGATTACCCTTAAAACCAAAATAGACGATTTACATAAGTCATAATCCATCACACGGGGCAAGTCATGCCCGAGAATTGACGAGCAAAGTGCAAAAGCTCAAAACAACTGATCGGGTCATTACACGGGTGCCCGTCGCGGCCCATCAGTTTTAGTCATGACACAGCTGGGCCCGGGCAGTCTCATATTCTAAGGCCAGGCAATCCATGTTCTTCTTCCATTCTTCAGCCTTAGTTTTCACTGCATCTACTTCTTTCTGAGCCATTTCTAGCTCAGCACGAAGGCCTTTAGCTTCCCCTTCTCTTTGCTCACTGAGAAGCTTAAAGGCATCCTTTTCCTCAGTAAGCCCTCGGACCTCGGCCTTATACTGGCTCAACTCCCTTCGAAATCGGAGAAAGGTTTCGTGATGAAGCACCGAAGCCTACATGCACAGAAAATGAGATTATGTAAAAATAAAGGATAAGTACAAAGAATTGACATCATCAAAGAAATCCGGGATTACCCGATTTAGCGCATATTGGGCTTAGTTGAAAAGATAGGGTTTTTCCACCTCGTCCATATTAGCTTGGTCTTCTTCGATGACCAAACATCGTAGATAGCTAGCCACCCCTAAGGGGGCAGAAAGGAGCTGAGCATCTACCGGGAACGAGATAAATTGATCGCTTACGCCCGGGATCAACACTAGGGGCCGAAAATTGATTGGTAAATTTAAAGCTCGAGGAAGCCTCACTTGATCTCTTCCTCGGTACCTCCAAGTCACCCAGACCAGTGACATCTTCCACTCTAACAAAATAGCCACGAAAAGGGTCTTCTGCTCCATGGACCCCTTCACCGTGGCAAGTCTCTACCGCCTGAGCATCCTTGATCATCGACTCAGTAAATGAAGGAAACGAGGGGTAATCTTCGATATCTATCACCCCAAGTAAATCTTTTGGGGCACCACCTTTATCCAGGGGGGCCTCGAGCATTGCCGAGGCTTCCCTTTCGAGCTTCCAGGTCGAGGTAGGGCAATTTCAGTCTCCACCGACTCGGGGGTTTCTTAAATTATGATACCCGACCTTGAACGAGCCACCAACCTGGATCCTTCCTCTTCTAATTCGGACTCATCTTATAGACGACGGACTGAGTCCAAAGATAGGGAAATGGTGTTTCCCGTGGGTTTACGGCCTGTTTTCTTTTTGGGTTTCTGCCCCTCAGAATTCGTGGAACTTGAAGCCCTTTTCCTCTTCTTCTCCCGCACTGGCTTTGGAACATATGGTTAGGGAAGTATTTCTTCATCACCAGACAGGGACCTCATTGCCACGTCTTTCCTGAGACCTACAAAAGAAGAAAAGATGAGTAAGCTCGGGAAGAAATTTTAACAACGGTTAAACCATTGAGTCAAAAAGGAAATTTTACCATGGCTGCGAGCCTCCCATCGACCCTTCGACAAATCGCGCCATGCGCGCTCAGTATGTGTCGATTGCGATATTAGTATCCTGACCCGGTCCTCAAGTTGGGGAACCACACCTGGCATCCAGGCAACGACTGCATCTAGGGGTGTTCGTCGGTCAGTATGGTACGGTATTTAGACATTTCGGTTCGGTATTTTTGGTATTCGGTTTCTTAAAATGCAATACCAATACCTTACCTAATTAAATTTAGTATGATTCGATTTTTCTCCTTTTGGTTTCGGTTTATTCGGTTTGGTAACTTCGATTTATTCGGTTTAAATACTAACTAGTGCATAGAGTCATAGACTGTAATATTCTAAATTAAAGTACTCAAAAGTACAAACTAAAAACATTTGTTGACAGAAATTTTGTCCAAAACTAGCAAATATCAACCCAGAGAGAGAGAACTGTACATAAAAGAATAAATTTGATCATTAGAAAAGTCTTGTTACTTGCTTAGAGTTAATTGATGAACTTAGAATAAAGAAAAGTAAAATTTTAGATTTTTATATTTATGTTATAATTAATAATATGTGTATGGTCTTGATCTTGGTTGATCTCGATCTCGATCGATCCCTGAGTCACGAGCTTGGCAATCTAATTTCGTGTCACGGTCCCATGATGACATGGGGTCGAATCTTGGCCTGCCATGCCCCGACCTCGGTTAATCATACAAAAAGGGCAAGCCTGATTTTGACTGTATACAGATAGTCCCCTTGTTTTTTGGAGAGTAATGACAAGAAACGATTTGAGCTCTCGATCTTCACCTCGATACATACAGTTCCCCAAGAACTTAATGCGCGTCAGTCGACAGTCGGTCATAACTAGTTTTGAACCGTCATTGCAAAATTATAAATATCCCCCTTCTTCATTTTTCAAACGTACTTTCAAATCTTCTTCACTCTAATGTCCAAAATCCTTTGCTTTCCTCAAAGCTTTGTATTTTCAGATCTCTAGGTTTCTTCTCTTGTTCTATCCCAAAATACCAAGTATTCATTTTCAATTTATATTCTTCTTCATCCATAAAAATTAAATGGCTAAAACTTTAAAGACTGTTCCGCAAAAGGAAACTGTTTCCTCGTCTCGGTCGACCAGCGAGGAACCAGCGACGGAGCCACACCCTGAAGAGTTCTTTCCCGGAGAGTGTCATCGATTCTGACTTCAAGGTTGGAAAGACCTCCTTGGTTCAGGGTCGATGCAAGCCGATATCGGGGTATATATGCTCGATACCTGATAACCTCCTCTCCCAGCTTAAAAAAGATTGCAACTGGGGTAAAAAACACGTGGCGGTGTCCGCTCCAGAAGAATCAATCACCACCCACATGGAGGGGTTCTTAAGTATTTACACTTACCCCTTCACGTTGGGTCTCTTGGATCCGATTATCATAGATTTCTGCAAGAAGTACGAGGTGACCCTCGATCAGATTCATCCCTCTTTTTGGAGGATTGTGATATTACTTCGTTTCTTCGTAAGCAGAATCGACGGGCTTCCCTTCACCCTTGTCCACCTCATATGCTTGTATAGCCCCCAACTCTATCGAAGTGGACTAATAAAGTTTCAACGTCGGGTCACCAGGACACCTTTCTCGAGCATAGATGAGGACAAAGACCGGGGCTGGATGGGCTGATTTGTTCGAGTGAAGACCGCAGACTTGATCCCGGCCGAAAGTATGTCATATCCTGAGAAATGGAATATGAATCGTAAGTACAATTCTGTCCTTAATTTCTGTTTATTGTCTTCGTTTTTCACCCTTTCTTATCACTATTTTACTTGATGCATCTAGGGTCGTGCATAATTTGGTAAATACCGAATTACCTTATCGAAACCGAAAATTTTGGTATTTGGTATTCGGTATGGTATTTGGTTTAAGTTTTTAAAAAAAACGGGTGTATTACGTATGGTATTTGGCATTTTAAAATGAAATACCGAAATACTGATATCGTACATAAATATATATTATAAGCGGGATAGAGATCGAGAAAGATTGAGGGAAGCCCGCCGAGCCAAATAACGGAAAGCCAAGATATTCGTGACCGAGCAAGGATCACGGCAGAGATCTCGACACGTATCAAGAAGAGGCCGATTAATTAGCTAATCATGGGATTTCTTACTGTATTTAGAATTGTACCAAGGGTAGGACTCCCCTACTATATAAAGGCGTCACATTCACGTTACATAAAGCAATATATTGTCTTTCTCTAGTTTTCATTATCTTGTTACTTTGTTCTTGTATCAACTGAATCTTCACTTGGTTCAAGGGTGATCAAATTCGAGGGCCAAGGCTATTTGATTCGTTTGGTTTGCATTTATTCCTTTACAGTCAATTTCAATATTAATTCACGTTTTTTTCGGTTTGTGTCAAGTAAAATCATGTGTCCTTAAAACCACATATAAATTCAATTGTTATCCGTTTTTTAGGGTAAACAGTTCTTGGCCTCTTTCTCCGTAATTATGGATAATATTCCGGATCGTTCATAAATATCTATTGCTTATAACAAATAAGAAATCTTCATGTATCCCATGGATATTTTAAGTATTGTCCCTTCCTAAAAAATGTCCTCAATATAATAATGACACAAAAATTACTAATTTGATGGAGATCATATATCTGCATATGTCTCCTTTATTAGTTTTTCTCACGCAGATGTGTATAAACTAAAATCCAAGATAACGACTATAATAAAATGTGCAAGAACATTTATAACAACTAGAATAGTGAAATTTTACACTCACTGACTTAGAACAATAGATTCATCTCGGAGTCTCCGGAGCCACTCACTCTCTTCCTACTACAAAATGTATATGGCGTAACATATTACACCAGGTTAGCCAAATGCGACTAACAGTAACAGGAATGTCTCATGCAGCCTGCACTTCAAAACATGGTAGATTCTCTATGTTTGCTGACTGTAAATTCTGTGGTACCCTAATTTGAAGAATACACATTTCAGACACATGTTTTGAGTTTTGATACACACTAAATTGACAATAAAAAATATCTTTTCATTTTTTCAGGTTAATCAATGCTTATAATATAGAGTTACATGTAAGTGTCTTTTAAGCAATTTGGTCTATAAATAATTTATTCATTGAACTTGTCTATTAATTATGGCAGAATAGTTCGGGAGACACTTGTATTAGTTTCGGATTGTCATCCCGGTCCCTACACTTCATAAAGTTTCATCCAAACATCTCAACGTAATTAAAACAAGCCTTTTAAACTCTTCTGACCGTTGATCGGGCTTATATAGCATTGATATGGCTGAAGTGAACAAAATGAGTGATTTACACGCACATCTATATATATATCTGGGAATGGAAAAGGTGATGTGGCACCTTCCAATGCCCAGCAATTGTATTTATTTATTTTCTCCATTTTTTCACAATTTTGCATTTTTTCCCTATTTTTACATTTCTCTTATTTTGTATAAGAAACCTAACGGTTGTTTATTTATTTCTTTCTCCCAAAAGTTGTTTAATAATAACAGGCCTTTTCTCTTCTATCTCCCTAATCACAGTTGCCTCTGTTGACTGGAAAAAAATGCCTCCCTCTCTTCTCTTACTTTCTCCATCTCTTTCACTCTCATCCCTTTCTACAGGTAAAATATCCTTTCATGTGATTATGTAGTTTAATTTTTGCTTGGCTTTCGAGTATTTTAATAACTTTATTTGTCATTCCTTTTTTCTTTGTCAGGAGATCTAAAAGGGATTCCTTTGAGTTACTTTTCGCACATTCTACGACTCTGAAAAATTCTTTTGATAAACTCATGACAATTTGGCGAATAACGAGATTGATGCAGGTTTGGTATTATTTTCCTTTTCATCGTTCATTCGATAGGTATTCTTGTATTCATCTTTTCTATTTTATCTATATTTGTATCAAAATTTCCAACTTTGATTAGAGCTATTAATATGGGCTAGACCAGCCTAGCCCACGTGAGCTTTAGCAATTGACGGGTTGGGCTGGGCTAGCCCACCATTTTGATGGGCCTTATAATGGTCAACCCACCCCAGCCCTATGAGGGTTGCGGGCCCCATGGGCCGGCCCATCATTTTTAAAATATAATTTTATATTTTTTCTTTAAGATCTAATTTTAAAAAAATCTTATTGAAAAAATTCACAAAATTTAATACTTATACTATTCCAATATCACAATAAACACTAAAAAAAGTAAAAGACAAGACTATATTTCATCCACTAAAAGTCAAAGCTCAAAATAAACTATTCAAGAGAACATCCATGACGTGTATAGGATATCCAACACATCATCTTCATCAAATACATTTGAATCCTCGTGTGAGATAGTTGTCTTAACATCTTCACTTTCATCTACACTACATCTACAATTAGTATGCAATATTAATTAGTTAAATATTAAAAATAATTAAATTTTTAAAACTAATTAACGTTTTAAGACTTTGATCTTTTAATATGATGAGCTTAATAAACTTCAAGCTTGGGATATTTTTCTTGATATTTTTTGTGTCATATAATTTTTATATTTTATATATTTTAAATACATATTTTTATTAGGCCCACGGGCCGACCCAGCTCAGTCTCAGTCAAGCCTCACGGGTCACGGACTTACTCGGGTCGGGCTTAAAAGCCTCGTTTTTAAATGGGCTCCAAAAATTCAAGCCCAGTCCTGCTAAATCACGGGCTGGGCTTGGCTGGCCCAACGGACCAAGCCCATATTGACGGCTCTAACTTTGATCTTTTTTTACTGGCCAAAATAAATCATCTCTTCTTTATGGTTTTGAGTCCGCCGTAAAATAACAGCATAGGCAGTTGATGGACTAACCATTGACCGAATCCAGAAGATATTTTCGAGAGGACTATTTGTTGTTTCTCAACACCTGCAATAAACTTCTTTTAGAGGATGATGTATCATCCAAAGTGAAACAACAAAAGTCACAAAGGTCTTTTCAAAACCCATAAGGAATAGAGTGCTTTGCTTTCGTGATGCAAATACGAAGTCTACATTAGGCTAGAAGGACAGATCATGTTATGGCAGGGTGAACAATCATATACGAAGACAGGGTAATGTGATGCGACTATTGGAGGGTTGAAATAACTGGGTAAGAAGGTTAAAGGAAAGGCCATTCACTCTTTTCTGTGCCTTCAGTTAATGTCTTTTCCAGTTGTTTCATTTAAAATTTATCCTACCACACCTACTTCGAAACTCATTTATACATGTGATTTGTTTACGCTAGAGAAGTATTTACAATGTTTGTAGGAATACATGAGAATTAGACGATATAAACATATTTTATTTTTGTGAATGTAATGCATATAGATGCATTAATTTAAATGATATTTGTTGTTTTAACATTTCATACATGTATTATTGTTCTTCTAGTGAATGTGATTACTATACCTTTTCTTCTTTTTTTTTTTTGTCAAAACTCATTGACTGATATAAAAAAAAATATAAAATGGTATTTGTTTTGTTTATTTCATATACAAGGTACGTACCCTCCAAAAACAACACTTCAAGATACAAGTTTTAAAATTTGTGATGCAAGCAGTGGCAAGAGGATGTGCTCTCCCTAATAATTTTTTTGTTGTTAATCAGGAAGTGTATTTCATCTATATAATTTTTCATCTTCGTAATCACTATACAACTAATAATAATTTAAATATTTTTATGTACGTTATTAGTAGTTTTAAGATGAATTTTATGTAATTTCAGTGTTAACCTCTTTTCTTATTGTTAATACTCGTTGAATCTGTCTTAACTCGATATAACTTGAATAATTTCATTAGTAATATATGATTAACTACAAATTATAGAGAAGCATATGTTCTAACTAAATTAAAATTACGAATTACCTCAAATATATTTTATTTATATAAGTGTATTCTTCTCATTATAAAGAGATAATTTCTAAATCCATATAAGCATACTAATCTTTTTATATATTTGCTTGCATTAATTCTTTTATGTTCGCGCAAAGCGCGGGCAATTTACTAGTTAGGTATAATGTGTGTGGGTTGATGATTTTTATTTATTAAAAGAAATAAAAATCTTTAAATAAATAATAAATAAAATACTAGCAGCTTGTTTTTCTGTCGTGTGTATTTCCCTCCCCAT